GAAGTTAAATAATAAGGCAAAATGGTGGATATATGTTGTATTTTATAATGAATCAACTTATATTTATGACTCTCTGGCAGTTAATGATTTTGTCTGCATATGGCCGTGTTGGTCAATTCAACCTGTTCTTTCAACCAAGCTCCTAAGGCCAACCTTTCAATTGGGCCATACCTCAATTAATGTTTGCACTGTAGTTACTTATAGTTACAACTTACCACTAGTCTGAGTTCATGAAAGAACGGAGGAGATGTGTTGGCGACCTAAGGACAAACTTGGCTTAGATTCTCATCAATTTGCCCAAAAGATATAGGAACCATATCTCATCCCATCTTGCAATATTGTTGCTTGGCTTACTGGTATTACACTTTTGTGTAAGTGTTATTGGAGATAATGCAGGTTGGTACAAGGGGGTGGAGAATAAGGCACTTGAAAAGAAGGCAGAATATCAGATAGTTACTTGGCCACCACAATCTCCTGATTTATATGTAATTGAAAATTTATGGAAAATGTGAAAGGGCCAACTTAGGAGAAGATTTTCTAAAACTGCTATGAGGTAGCCATTTACTGAAGATGAGATTTGGGTTATGTGTCTTGAGGAATGGGCAGCTATTGAGCAGGATAAGATTGACAGATTGGTTAAAACAATGCCAGAGCGTATTGGGGCAGTCATTCAGGCAGAAGGAGGGCATACGAATTGGTAAATTGAGGTTGGTTCTCCTCTGTTCACTCGCTCGAGGGGTGCCAAGACTCGTGTTACACCAGTGTACATATGCGGCTCATATGAGGCTTACCCGTAGTAGGTCATTTTCTATAAAGTATGATACACCCTTCGATAAAATCCTTTAATTACTGTGACTTATGCCGAAAGAGCCACTTTCATGCTGAAAAATGGCGCGCCAAACAGGACCTAAACAAACTGTTAGAAAGGGCTGGCTTGGCGAATGGACAAATATTTTATTCACTTGTTGAGATTCAAAGTAATTTGGAAGATTTACTTTATTCTTACTGAAATGTAATTTTCTGTACTGTACTGTCACTTCCACTGTCCATAAGATATTTTGTGTTAGCGTATGAAGAAACTTTTATAGCTTGTGATTGTATGGTAGAAGTTCGAGTAACTCTACTGCTACTGTGTTCATAATACTTTTCTATCTTGTTTACGGTTCACTAATAAGCTTCAGCAGTTACCTTACTTCTGTACGGTTCTAAAATATGCTACTTAAAATGGAGCAATGCTATTTACCAGTTACATGAGGTAGGCGATAATGTATTTAACTCAAATGCGGTTCTCTTCTCCGACAGATGTGCATACAGCTCCCACATCTGACACCGTCATGGAGATATAACACCATTTTTGATACTTGCTTGTCCAATGGCCTCTGGCAAGCCCACGCCAACCTAGACTACATTGAATCTCTACAGTATCTTGAAATAAGTGATGACGAATGGGTTCAACTAACAAATATTCTCGACCGTGCTAACTGATTGGAGTCGGCCGTGCTATTCCGGAGCAGGCTCGAAAGAAACAATAACATTGCACTTTATGAGCCCCACTAGCTACTACCACGTCTAATGACCAAATAAACTAATAACCACAGAATCTATTACTCTAACATTGACATTAGGGATACCCAACTACACAACCACCTACTCCCCCGCCCCTTCTCCAGTCCACGTAAACCTTCCTCCTCCAACCAACCAACCGCCAGTCGAATATCCCGTCCGATATTGCAGCTAAAGTTTGGAAAGCAAACTACGAACCTAAACAGACGACGCCATACGATAGGGCATTGAGAGATAAGAACGTCACAAAAAAACTGCAGCCTGTTGAGCCAATTTCATGTTCACGTCACGGGGGCATGTGGGTATGCGTGATCCGACCAGGCGCTGCGATAATCTATCTTGCCGCCTATGGACAGAGATCCCAGAGCCCACAATCCCACAAGTATCGTAAACCTCCCTACTTCGCGTAAGGGGGTGCCGCATACGAAGCTCCGGCAGGATACCGATCCCCCGGATTCCCCCCTTCGGATGGATGTTGCCCCTGCGGCCCACTATATTGTGGAGTACCAATCGGCGAAAACGCGTGTTTCCGACGTCCCTTTGTAGACTCTCTTTTCAGTAATCCCCGAACCTCTTCTATGTCCTCCCGGCGACTCTCTATGCTAGGTCTTCCAACCGTGGCGTTGTCCATCCTGCCATCGAAACTAGGTCTCGCACGGTTATCGCAGAAAGGCGAGGAAGCGTTGTGTGGAGGTGAAACGCCAAAACTGAGGCCAGTGGCGACGCCAGCTTCTTTACCTTTCTGCAAGCGGCTGTCCTCCTCACCCTCTTTTTTGGAGTCCCAGCGGAGGGCTATTTTGGCTTCATTGCCCTTGTCCATGTATTCGTGGGCTTTGTCATCGCTGATTGCCACCGTGAACATTGGTTTAGCTTCCTCACCGATGACCGGATCACCCTTTCCGACACCATAAATGGGTATTTTCCTCAGGATCTTGACGAGGGCACAGAAGAATTTGTTGCGGCGTTGACAGGTAAGCGCTTCATTGGACCAGTTGCTCTATCAGAGCATTATTAGCTTTACATATCTTCACTAGGTATTTTGCCGCTAACCTTATGCTTAATCTCAACCTTAATTTCCAGTTTATCGAGCTCGTTAATTCCAATAACCTCAACCTCAAGTTCCTGCTGAAAGTCTCTACTATTCTCTCGGACAAATACAAGTAGCTCGTCACGTAGCTTCTGGATATCTTCGAGGCTTGTATCATAGTTGACCCCTATCTTGACAAGTTCTTGCATGTACTTTGAACGCGAGATATTCTCAACCCATTTAGTGTTCAAGACGTTGTTCGGGACCTGGGTGATTTTGTTGTTGTCCACGCGCTTGAAGACGCTGTAGAGAAGGGAGATGTGCTCGACCTGGAACCTCTTGTCATCGATATCGACACGGTCACCAACATCGAAGGGATCTATAGCAGAACATTAGAGCGTCGAAATTCAGACACGGGGTCAAGAGTGACTTACGCTTGACAAACAAGAAGATGCAAGAGCCCAAGACTTCCTGGGCAGTAAGAGCAAAGACGAAAGACAGTGAAATAAGCACGGTACCAGCACCCGCAATAGTTGTCCCAACGCTAGACTGCTGCGTGATAACGAATACTAGGACGACGATGACAAACACAATGAACGACAAGACACTATCAAGTGCTCTAATGGCATTATCCTATATAGTCCGAAGGATCAGCGATTTACCAATACACCCTGTCAATAGAATATTACTTACCACATCCTGCATGCTCCGAGCAACATCATGGCGCTCATTATGCATATGGACAACATGCATCACCATTTCGTCCAAACTAACATCTCCGTTGTTATCGCGATCAAGTGAAGAGAAGCATTCCAAAGCTTGTTCCTCGTGATCGGGCCCCATGACTTCGAGCAAATCCTCCTTCGTCAACGCGGCATGGCCTTCGGAAACGAAGGACATCCAGATACGTCTGGCCAGAGCCTCTGAAGAACGGGTTCGCTGGAGAGCATTTACAACGATAGAATACGCAGAATTCGGGTTGAACACATTCTTATTACCAGTAACCTCCTGTGCAATGTTACCGAACGCACTAGTAACCTTGTCCTGTACAACATTAATATTGCCCAAGATTGCACGCATGGGCGTTGCGCTACCGCTCTGTTTAGGGATAATAAGGTTAGTAGCAAGGGACTGGTGAATAATATAATCCTCCTCGGCAAATTCTGTATAAGAAGGGAAGAGGTTCCGGGATGCTTCATAGAGTTGACTAAGGAACTTGACATTTTCCTTGTTGGTCTTGATGCGCTGGGCGAACTGCTTGCGATGGTAGTCGACGGAGACAATTTGGATGACAAGTTTCGCGCCGAGATACACCAAGGATGAGATTAGGCAAGAGATAAGCACAAGGTTCATGCGGCGTTGCCATTCTTTGATGCTTGTATCATTGGCCCTGAGTTGGTCGGGATTCCTGGTCATCAACTATGAAATGGTTAGTGTTTATACATATCTCTAGGCTGGGACACTGCTCACAGGAAGGAAAGAGCAGAGCGAGGCAATAGCCCAACCAACAAGTGAGATGGGAACTTCGAGAGCTTTGATAACCAGTGCATACTTCTTCACCCCACTACTGACAACACCAATGAGGGTCTGGAAGATAATGGGTAGAACTTTAGCAAATAGTTTAGAGACCCAAAGCGAGCACCAGACGATCTCGAGCTATTTTTTCATTAGTCGAGCTTACCGCCGCCATCAAAGGGATGTCCTACCCAAACAAATAACCAAACAATCCTAACCCCCCTCGTCCGCTCAGTGGCGCCAATGGCAGCGTCCTTAGCGACGTATAGACCAATCAGAATAACCACAACAAAGCACATCGAGAGCGGAATAATGTAGAGCAAATAACGAGTTAAGACGGAAAAGTTTAGGATCTTCTCATAAAGTCGCCCCATGGCAGTCAACGCGCCCTCGTCCTCTACCAGACTCGCATCCCCACCAGTCTCCATCTTCCTTGCTCGCCGGCGGCCCATATGTCTGTGAAAAATGCCAGCATCTTCGGTTGCATCGGTTGCGTTGCGGTTGAGGTCCGGACGAGTCATGGACTGGCCTTCTTTCCTCGCGCCAGTACTGAGGTTGGTCATGACGGGTGATAGGGGAATGTTGACTATGTGGTCGTCCTTGGCACTTTGTGCATTGGAGGGTGATAGGCCTCCTTGCTGCTGTCTGGATTGGTTCAGAGATTCAAGGGGAATGAACCCTGAGTTCCTCGGGGAGGAAATGGGGGACTTTGGCATTGAGTCACGGACTTATTTACAAGTTGTGATGTGTGACCTTGCTTTCGGATGGTATCGGCTGCAGAAACAATTTTCCGGTTGTTTGTCGAGGTGCTGCCTGAACGTCCTTCTTGCCCTTCCCCAGAAGTGGATTAATTAATATTGAGTGAGACAGATTGATAAGAGTAGTGAGTGATCTGAGTATGTCAAGTGACAGGTCTTAGGACGAGCACTGTTGGCAAGATTGTGTCGAGGTTTAAAACTTTGTTCGAGAAAAGTGAAAGGGAATGGCAAGCGGTGATCAAACTGCTGCCTCGACGGTTGGATAAAGAGCGTAAAAGATAGGATATTCCTAAAGGAAAATGGGTCACAAAGAGGGGATGCTTTCTCTTCCTCCCCTCACAGGCATGCAGGATGGACGAGACGGAAGTTATTGAGGAAGGGGAGAGGAGAATAAAGGGGAGGGAAGGAGAAAAGGAAAGGAGTCAAATCAAAGTTACTCGCGGGCAACGAACGAAAGGCACAGAAAAGAATTAAGGCAAACTGGGGCTCAGAAAATCAGGGCAACCAATCAACAAAAGCACGGGGGGAAAAGCAATGACCTCCACCCCGAGCCCAAGGAGAAGAAAGAAAAACGAAAAGTGACCACGAAAAGGGAAGCTTAGTGTGAGAAGGAATCCGATCGCTTTGATTCCGTGTCACAGAACACAAAGAGATCATAACAATACCGGTACGCCCTCCATGAACATAGCTCGCCTCCTGCTAGACTCCCACTCGAGTACAGTCGCACCTCGTTATAAAGAACGCCAAGAGTTGGGGGGGGTTTGTTCGTTATAACGAGGTTTTGGGGTGAATTCCTTATAGCGAGTACTGTTTGTATGGGAGCAGGGGTCTTGATTCCCGTACGATTCATTCGTAATGGCGAGGTTTCTCATACAAAAAGGTCCATTATAGCGAGGTGCGACTGTACAGTACGCGAGTACCGGTAGTAGTATATCAAAGTACAGAGTACTCGTACTATAAGTGTACGAGTAGAGTTACGAGTATTCGAGTACTCGCGCATGTACGAAATGCGAGCACCAGTACGGAGCGGGCATGTTTGAAGTGGAAGGTGGCCGCGATAAATTAGATGGCAGGTACAGTACAGTACTCGGGGGAGGCATAAGTCGGGTTCATTTCCAAAACGGGCAGGGTATTTGTTAAAAATGGCAGTTAAGCACCCGTAGTTCAGGCTGGAGGCTACAGTGGTCTGCGTACCTCTCAGATGAGGACGCGTAAGCAGTGAAAACTTTTCTTCTTATTTCTTCCTCATATTTCTTTCTCTTCCTTTCTTTCTCAACCTTCTCAACCCTCAAGTCAACAACAAACTCCACACCTCTTGTATAAAAACTCTCCTCACTCCTTATTCTCTACTCTTCATACACATACAATACAAGATTCCCTCATTACCATTAGAGCCAACTTAGTCCACTGCGTAAAACCCACCTTTCAGTCATTACTGTTGCAACGACAACCGATTTTATCCTGTCTGTCGTCCTCAATTTCCAACAGGTTATGAGCCCAGGTTCTGCGTAACTCCAGTTGGCTCCGTTACTCGCTACCGCTTGTCTCTCCCGCAATTGTTGCCGCGATGTCAACATCCCATCGAACTTCGAAACCTTTTCCTTCCACTACCGGTACAGTAGAGATTTTTACTTGTAAATTTGGCACGACTCAAAAGCTTAACGAATCGAACTTTCATCATTGGAGTGAGGACCTTAAAGCTTTTATGAGAGCTGATCAAACCTACGATGTCATCTTCAAAAATCAAAATCCTCCAACACCTGATCAGAAGCCAGCCTATGCCAAATATCGAAATAAAATCAATCGAGCATTTGGAATGATTTTTACCTCCTGTACCCAACAAGCCAAGCAACACATTCGTGGCCTTGACTGTCCTATTGCTATGTGGGCTTCACTTCGGAAAAAGTACGACGTTACTGCTTCGTGAATTGGACGGTCAACACTTCAGCGTCAATTCTTCGCCCTGCATCTTGAGCCTGGGATGTAAATTAACGACCTGATTTCGGGAATGAAGTCTCTACAATCAAGACTTCTTGGTACTGATATGGAAATCTTGCCAAACTCCTTTGTGTCTCTTCCAAACTCTCGCCTTCTAGAAGAGTACCTACCTACTATGGATCGAGTGCTCTCTGAGTCAGACCTAGATATTGATCAGCTCGTAGAGGCTATTCTCCAGAAGGAACAAGCCATTAGAGAAAGAAATGATGATGTGAGTGGATCAAACACAGCTGGAGCCTTGACTACAGCACTTGCTGCAGGCATCTCCTATTCAACTCCGAGTCGAGGAAGGATGCGAGGTTCACAGTACAACCGCATCTACAATCGAGGAAGATATAGCAACACCAATTTCGGTAGAGGTCGAAACCGAAGGCAAGAGGGACGATCTGGGCTAGTGTGTAATTATTGTACCAAAAGAGGCCATCGAGAAGCGAATTGCTTTATCAAACAAAGAGCTGAGTGAAGGAGTCGAGCTCTCCATTCAACAGATTCCCATTCATCACTGCCTAGTCGCATCTCTGGGAATTACAATGAATAGGTTCTTATTGCATCTTATGTTCCTGAAAATGCCCTCATTGTTGATACTGCTTCTATTGCCCTGGAGCAGGCCAATTGGATCGTTGGTAGTGGAGGGTCCGATCATCTTACCCATGACAGAAGAGCGTTTCATACGCTCAAAACCCTTCTGGCACTGGTTCCAGTTTTTATTGGTGATGGAAGCCGATTGCTAGGGGTTGCTCGTGGCACCATTCAGATTCGATTGAAGTCAGGTGCTGTCTTGGAACTTGAAGCTCTATATGTTCCAAAGCTTAAATACTCTCTCCAACAACCATCCACAAGTGATACAGAAGACCTAGTTGATTGTACAGTTTGTATACTGGCGAAGCAGCAGTGCAAAATTATCCGCCAACCTGTTCCAAGAACTATACACTCATTTGAACTGATATACTCAGACCTTGCTGGGCCTATTGCAGTACCTTCATGCTCAGGAGCTCGCTACTTTATACTCTACATAGATGACTATACATGCTACACTTCCGTGTACTTTCTGTGAACTAAAGAGGCTACCGAAGTTACTGCTGTTTTCAAGAGTTCATAACCCTGATTGGAAAGCAGTTTCCACGGTTCCCTGTCACTAGATTTAGATGTAACAATGGTAGAGGAGAATATTCCAATAAATTCTTTCGAGGCATTCTTCGTGCATCAGGAGTGTTGTTTGAGCCAGCTCTGCCCTATACCCAACACAAAAATGGACTGTCTGAGCACATGATAAGGACTATAGCAACAAAAGGAAGAAGTTTGCTCTTAGACTCGAAGCTGGACCCAAGTTTGTGGGCTGAAGCTATTAATACAGCAACTTATTTACATGTGCGTTCACCCTCTCGGGTATTAGGAGACAAAAGTCCCTATGAAGTACTCTATGGCAAGAAGCCTTCGCTTTTACACCTTCGCCGTTTTGGCTGCCTAGCCTATAAGTTGATTCCTGAGGCACAGCGCACTGAGAGGAAATTTGGTCCAAGATCTAAGAGATGCGCAATGTTGGGCTATGTCCATGATACAGGCAAGATTTGGAAGATGTGGGATTTAGAGCAAAAGCGCCCTTTTCAATCCTCTGATGTTGTCTTTGATGAGACCAAAGTTGCTTGTTCCTTTGAGCATTGCTCAGGACATGATATTTTAAAGCCTCTCCTTCCAGAGGATATTCTCTTAGTTGATGAGAATGAAGAGGATCCGGTTGACTACCACGCTATAGATGTAGGTGGAGTGAGCTCCCCTACTGAACAGTCTTTGACTGTGGTACATCCGAGAAAACTGCTAGGCTCTCTGAAAGCCTGATCGAGAATATGAGTTGTACTAAGTCCCCCATGCGTGCGAGCCCTGTGGTAGATCATGAGATGCAGCCTACACCTACAGCAGAGAGTGTACAAATGCAGCTTACACCTGCGGAGTGCTTGGATTCCCGGCCATCACCAGTACTACCTCAAGCGCCAGCAATTATTCCCCCACTTAGATGTTCTGGTCGCATTAAATCACAGGTTGTACAGGTTGCTCTTGCTGATGAGGATAGATCTGCTACATATGACTATAAGGGCAGTCATGGGGTTGATCCGGCCACTTATGCCGACGCTGCTAGTAATGAGCATCGGGGAGCAGCAATATGCAGCGAGTATAAATCACTTATAGACAACAAAACATGGATGCCAGAGTTGCTGACGAGCGCTACTGTACCAATCCTGAGTTGTAAGTGGGTTTACCGTACTAAGGTAGAGGCTGACGGTTTAACCTGTTATAAGGCCCGCCTAGTTGTACGAGGCTTTGAACAAGTCGAGCATGGAGAAACGTTTGCTCCGGTGGCTCGCCTCACAACAGTTCGTATACTTCTGGCTGTGAGTATTTTGAAAAATTTGCAAGTCCATCATATGGATGTTACTTCTGCCTTTTTAAATCCATCTATAGGTGATGAAGTTGTTTACCTTTGTCCACCTGAGGGGTTTGAGTGGCTTGATCCTGATCTTTATGATAGAATGGGATCTAAGGTTTTAAGACTGAGGAAGGCGCTTTATGGCCTGAGAGAAGCTCCCCGTCTCTGGTTTCAAGATATTAATAACTACCTTTGCTCTATAGGATTTAAGCCTTCAACAAGTGACTCTAATCTTTACCTCTCCCCTACAGTTATTCTTGTTCTCTATGTTGATGATGTGCTTTTGGCAAGTTCTTCAGCTTTTGAATTGCAAAAGGTAAAGGGAAAGTTACTACTAAAATATAAAATGAAGGACTTAGGACCAGTACGCCAGTTTCTGGGTCTCAAGGTCTATCAATCGAGTGGAAGTATCCAGGTAAAGCAGGAAAGATTTATCAGCAGTATCCTGTGTCGATTTGGACTCGAGAACTGTAATGGCCTCTATACACCTCTGGATCTGAAGGCTCTACGATCTGTTACTACCACTGACACCCCTGGACGCTCTCCCGAGGACTGCCACCTATACCAATATATAGTAGGAAGTATCATGTATGCAATGACTGGTACCAGACCAGATCTTGCGTATTCGATTTCAGTTCTTAGCAAGCATTTAGCATCACCTCTGAGGAGCCATCTCGTGATAGCTAAGAGGGTTCTCCGGTATCTAAAGCAAACAGAGAACCTTGGACTTTCCTATATCTGGAAGGAGGAACCCATGTCTACTACTCTACATGGATTTACGGACTCAGACTGGGCTGGAGATATTGAGGACCGGAAATCTATAGGAGGATACACCTTCCTTCTAGCAAATGCCGCTGTCACATGGAAATCTAAAAAGCAGAGAATTTTGGCCTTATCATCCGTGGAGGCCGAATAGATTGCCTGCTCTGAGGCAGCAA